AGTTTTTATAAATTTTAAAAAATAAACTAGTTACACCTTACTATAAAATACTTCAGGTAATTATTATAAACACTTTTTGAACAAACCACGTACTTTAGTTGATCAGTATGATGTGCTTCTGACAAAATCGTGTTTAAGACTGATACAAAAGTTGTGTTGATGGATTTTATTTATTCCTCAGGCTGTTATAAATTCACACTCGCCCCTCTTATTTCTTAACAACGTATGTAGTGGCTAAAGTAAAAAAATCACACAAATCCTAATAGTGGAACCTGGCATTATGTCATGAGTCTAAGCCTTCCTCAACGTCACAGTCATTCCTTTTGACGTCAAAGTACTCCTTTCCTTCTACGGATCGAAGCACCCATATTTTTTTATTTTTTACACCATGATTATCCCTGTCCCCGTTTAACAAATCGCTCGTTAAACTATTTTAATTAGTTGTTCTGTGTAAAAAAATTTATTTCTTCGCTCGAAGATGTTACTTTTAATTATTTATAAATAATTAACAAATAAATTTATATTGAAGCAAATAGATCATGAACTCGTTGAATTCAACCAAGATCTTATCTTTGGGTTTATAAAAATATTGTCAAGAAAATCTTAAATGACTTTCATGAATAAGTTAAAATTATTAAAAGCTTCGTTTATGGATAAGTTAAAATTATCAAAAGCTTTATCAAGTTAAATAAATAAATGGAATATGAATTATTTTAAGTAAATCTTGGTTGAATAACTCAATCATCAGAATGGTATAATTTATAATAGTACATTTTTATTTAAATTAAAGTTTGGTAAAAATTCAATAGTATTGAAAGCTTTTTAAATTATTGAAATATTTAAATGTCAGTATTTTATTATCATTTAAAATTTTTTATAAAGCTTATAAATATCGATGTAATAATAATTATTCATTTGTTTATTACTTTTTATTAAAAAAAAATTAATAAATAAAAAAAAAAGTTATTTTTATTAATAATTGTAGGTAGCAATCGAGTAGCCTTGTTTCAATAATTATTAAGTATTAAAATAATATGAGTACATTGCAGAACAAAGAAGGAATCAAAATAATTATTGTACTGAGTATAATAAGTATGAATCTTATCATATATGAATAAAATTAAGGTGACCGTCTCTTTTTTCTCATGCAAAAATTTCTCTTGACAAAGGCGGGGAGCCTAAAATTAATTTTAAGATGACTTAAATTTCATCAAAATCATAATAAAAGCTTAGATTTATTTAAAAAATTAATTAATGATCATTCTATACTATTATTTAATTAAACTATTAAATGTCAAACATTGAAGCTAAATCATAGTAGGTTAAACGTCTGTGTTTTTTCTCCTTTAAATTAATGGCTGGCTATCTGCTTCACCTTTAGTTTGTTAACCTAGGTATAAATTAAAAGTTAAGGAGACATAGTTGTATTTTGATTGTTTTTTAAACTTTATTATTTCACTTTATCAATAATTTAAATTGAGACAAGTTCATATTTTCATAGAAGACTATTTATTAAAATTCAAGAAATAATCTTTTATTCTACAAAATATTTTATCCCTGTCAAAAGTTTTAAATTCGAATTGGACTTTATAAAAAGCAGCTTTATAATAATATAAAATAATCAGACATTCATAATCGATAATATAAAATATAATATTAAATCAAAATCAATGATATCATTATTAAACTTCATACGGTAAAATCTTTTATCGCTATAATTTTAGTTATTAAATCATTGTTATCTGGAATAACTTTTCAGGTCATCTTAAAAATTTAAGATGAACTTCATCCGCTGGATATCCCATTTCAGAACTTTAACTGCAAAATTTTTAAGCCTGACTTTTTTTTGAAATTTTTGCAGTTTATGTAACTTTCAGTACATAATCTAATATATTCTATTTAATAACACTGAAATCAACAGCAATCTTACAATTTTTTTAATTTTCATAACAATTAAATTATTATAAAAAAAATTTAATAAAAAAATTCCACATGTAGGAATTTAAAAAAAATACAAGGGCGAATTTTCAAAAATATTTTTTTTATTATAATTTATTTGTTATCAAAATTTCAAAAATTTTCAGATGTCTACTGATTCCATTGTTATTCTACTGACAAATAATATTTTTATCAATAAATCAATTGGAAAATAAAAATATAAGAATTGTCTGCTACTGAATTTTAAAAAGGGGTGACTGTATTAAAAAGTTATACCCATGAAATCATCAATTCTGGATGTATAGTCAAGGAATTAGGAAAAAAATAAAAAAAATTCTACGAAGTAAATTAGATAAAATGAGCATTGACATGTCTTTTGCGTACATCTTATCTTACAGGATTCATGATAGACTACGTGTAATACAACGCGTATTTCGTAATATATTTATGATTGTACTACGATACAATCGCGGTCGCTTCGTCACTGATACTAACTTAAATACAACAATCATAGCGTAAACTCGGATACAATGTATCTGAGGAAATAAAACAAGGAAATGAAACACTTTGACGTCACTATTGAGACAATTTTAATTGTTTTTTTTATAAGTATAGAGGATTAGTATCTATAAAATCAATCTTTTATGTATTTATTGTTCTGCTATGAGTTCTTCTCTATTAATAATCTGTAATTATATCAAACGAAGTGAATGCGAACTCGGATACTTGTGTCTGAGGAATTTTAATTCGGATACAGTGTATCTCAGGAAATAACATAAGGAAATGAAGTATTTTGACGTTAGTATTCAGACAATTATAATTATTTCTCACGTGCTATTAATAACGTTCATTAATAAATTTCAGCTTTTTGTTCTACACTGTTAAAAAAAGAAGCAGTTATTTCTCAAAATGTTTTGGAAAACAATTTCCGTGACAATAATTGTACTTTTTTAATACTATGTCTGATAAAAAATTTATTTAAAAATGTTTTCATTTTTATTATAAATTAAAATTGGTAGTTACAATAAATGCACGTCATGTTGAAACTGTGAAAAAATTTTAATAAGTACGAATAATAGTTCATATAGTATTTTAGTTTCTTAAAAATCCGAAAAAGTCTTATTAAGTCGGAAAAACTCTTCATTCGACTTAGAAAGTCAGATTTTTTGCAAGATTTGGGACTCTGCAACAAAAGTGATTCAGAATTATTAAAACTTCTTGTAGAAGTCCTTGTGGAAATAATTCTCTGAAAAAACTCTTGAAAAGTCAAATTTTCCCTGCAATTTATGACTTTCTCAAAGAGGTATTAAGAGTTGATAGGACTTATTCAGTTTTGCAGGAAAAGAAGAGAATATTTCTTTTCAAAAAATTTACTTATCAGAATTGGAGAAAATTGAAAATTAAACTATAAAAAAGAATTAATGCATATTTTGTAAAAATTTTTTTTTTAATAATATTTTCATCACGAAAATACTTCGATGCGCATCAAATCACTTATAGTTAAGCAAGTCAAAACATCAATAGCAAATGAAGTCGATTATGTAAAAATCCAAAAGATGGTTTCAATAAATAAACCTTGGTTTTAAAATTAATAAACCTAAGCTGTCTTAATAATCATAATCATCTCTTATTAGAATATGTAACTATCTTTTGTTTCTATTTTTGTTTTATATTGTTAATACTCTCTGTCTCTATATCTTCAACTGTGTATCAATTGAGTAACCCTGTTATTGGCCCTCTGGGCTGTTGGGTTTTAATAAAAGAAATAAATAAATAAATTAATTAATTAAAAATCTCATTTCATCTACTAAATTTGCGCAGAAGTATATTGAGATTACGAAAATTTTCTAATTATATCGATAATTTTGTAAGTTAAGTCTACAGAAATTAAATTTTTCTTGTAGAATCCGGTATTTTATGTTTGCGTATATTTTCGTCTTGTAATTTTACCATTTTGTTGTAAAAGATATGAAATAAGCTAATTTTTGAAGCATATGCATATGAAGATTATTAAAATTAATAAATAGATTTTAAACTTGCAAAAGCAATATCGTAATATTACCATGCATAAATTATTAATTTCGTTCGTAAATTCGATTTTTAATTTTAAGATATGTATATAAGATACTTAAAAGTTACTAAATTTACGAAAATTTTTAACAGCGTATTATCTTTTTACTTTAATAAGATAATGATTATGATTATGAAATTTAATTATTTATCTTCTTTTTCCAACAGTTTCAGACTTTTATAATTACGATGTAAATATTGAAAATCTTAACAATATTTACAATTACATTTATTATTTATGAATTTAGTTAAGATAAAAATAACTTTAGATTGTAAAACAGTTATGAATTGTTATTCTTTGTAATAAAAAACGAAACAACAATTGATAATTGAATTCATAAGGATAAATAAGCATAAATGAATAACCAGTGTTTATCGCAATTATGTGAATGAAAACACATTTATTGCTATATAGTAAATAAATTACAGTAAGCGGAATTAGATAAGATTCACACATTCTTGTATTATAAATAGTATAGTTGGCTATAAAAAAAAAAATAAAAAACCATTTACCTTCACTGACCGACGTCAATGAATCACTTAAAAGACTATAAGATATTAATATGCCATTCCCTGGTTAACTGCACGATTTGCATCAATGCACGGCATAAAGCATAAGGTTAAACGAGTTTTGAAGGATATACATACATTGATGCAAAAGCAGCCGGGATTCACCGGATTGAGATTTAATTTTGAAATAACGTCAACCGAGATTATTATGTTTCATTTTTATTTTCAGCGACCATGGATTTGTTAAAAAACTTTTTAGCATAATCAATGGTAAAGTATTATAATCTATCAATAAAAAAGAAAAAAAAAACAATTAACATTCGTGAACAAATACAATTACTTTTATTCAATCAATGCAATATGAAAAATTATCAATACATCTTTTTTTTACTTAATTATTTTTTATATCTAATAAAGTGTGTACAAAATAATATAATATGTGATAATATGTATATATTCATTATTTATTATATTAACAATTATTAAACGATTGTTGCGAGTTTTCCCTTACGTGATTCAATACCTTGAATGAGATCCGTTAAAAGATCTTCCATTTGTGTTGCCGCACGCTTCAATTCACAATTGTCACTTGAATTGAAGGATTCTGCTGATAAATACATAAAATTAAATTCAATTAGGTTCAAAATATAATAATGTTAATTTAATAATTATATGTGTATTATATTTATGGTATAACTATAAATGCTAAAAAAATTACTCGAAATTATCAATCATTCAGCATTAAAATGCACATCGACTTTGAAAAGTTTTCTGCAACTTTTCAAAGTTCAAGTTCATAAAAACTGTCATTTAAGTTTTTGAGTAATGTCTCTACTTCAATGAAGAGCAACTGAGTAAAAGTTTAAATGAAATCTAAAGTTTAAATAAACTGTATTTATTCAATAAACTTAATTAGGTATTTCTTTATTGTCTTCACGATGAATAAATAGTATATTACAACCCTAGGCCAGAAAGTTGGATTTCCTGGCGTATGGGATATGATGGCCGAAGCGTAGCCGAGGCCATCATATCCCATACGTCAGGGCATCCAACTTTCTGGTCGTGGGTTGTATACTATTTTTCTTGCTCTCCACCCGAAAGTACGCAACTCCGGGGAAGGGGTTTTGCAAAACCGAGGCGAAGCCGAGACTTTGCTGGTCGGGGCGGACAAAAAAAAAGTAAAAATTAATAAATTAAAAAAAAAATAAGTTATTCTAAAGTTTACTAACAACTGTTCTAATTTAGAGTGATAAAATGCACAGAACTTGGCACAAATATTTAAACTCGTTCTAATAACAGAATTTATTTTTTTGAGTTGATTAAAAATTAATTTTTAGTTAATAATCGACGGCTAAGAAAGATTGAAATTAAATCATTAGAAGCTTGGAGAGTACATGTACCTATTATTTTATAAACATTGCTTGACTAGCTGTCAAAATATAAAAGAAAGCAAATAAAGTCCACAAAACTATTATATTTTATTTTCTGCCCTCCGGCCGGAAAGTGGCAACTTTCTGGCCGCTGCGCTAAACAAAGTTGCCACGTTCCGGCTACGTCGAGCAGAAAAATAGTATACACACCTTGGCCAGTAAAAAGTAAAGCCTCAGACCACATGTTTGTCAACCTCGGCTTCGCCTCGGCCAACAATTACATGTGATCTGAGACTTTTCTTATTTTACTGGCCTAGGTATGTAATATACTATTTTATTTTTTTGACACTTTCTGGTTAGTTTATGCGCTGACATGTTACATACAGACGATGTTGTGATGTTGTGACTGTTAGACAGTTGAAACTCACGCCACGAAAATATGAAAAGAAGCGAGGTTCTGTGCTGCCCGGCCAGAAAATATGCGTAGCGCGCATGCGCCAAAACAAGCCACAAATTTTGCTCTTTCTGGAGTAAACTGCGTCCAGAAAGAGCGTACTTTTGGGTAGGAGAGCAAGAAAATAGTTTTTTGCACGCCTCATAGCGCGAAGCGCGTGAGGTTGTGCTTTACACTCGACTCGTTAATGTCAAGCAATTTTGCGATCTTTAAATGCCTGTATCACAACCATATTACACTTATACAATAATTAAAGTATATGTACACCGAGAAAACACTTAAATTAAGCCATATTTCACTTTTTAAAATCATTTCATGTTGTTATTTTGAAAAAAAAACGTTTCAAAAAAAATTTTACGTGGACGTCCGGATGTCACCCCATTTTGTACCAACGATTACTCCCGAACGAATTGATATTTCGAGACGGGGTTTTGATTATTAGTTCAAGATTGCGATGAACTGGGTCCGTATTTCATTTCAGTAGCCTAGCTTAAACGAACTTTCCTTATTTGTCACGTGAAAACTATGGCGCCACTTGATCAAGCTAGATTTTTTTAGACTGCGTGCACATATGACAAGAAAAAAGGGCGCTGATA